TCTATGGCTGTCACTGGAGCTGAGAGCCAGCTTTAGCTCTGAGGCTCGGCTCCAGCTCTGAGACCTTAGCTGCTGAAAGCAGGTCTCTGGGTTTGTTTTGGTTCTATAATTGAAACACTGTTTCAACTCCAGCTCTGAGATCCCGGCTGGCTGAAAGCAGCTTTCTGGGGTTTTGTTTAGCTTCTATATTTGTAACAATGTTTCAAACTGCAAGCTCAGAGGCTGGCAGCTGCAGGCGGGGAACGTTGGTTTCCTCCGTCACTGAAGCAAGCAAGCCTCATGTTTGCTTCAAGCTGCCTGGCTGCCGGCCACCATGTTGGCTGGCAGTTAATTTGCATATCTCGCTGATTAGCCAATGGGAAGGGTAGTGGAGTGACACCAATTTGCATGTTTCTCTTTTATTAGTGTAGATGGAATTACCTGATAGACAATGTGCACCCCTGAGGAGTCCCAGATTGTGAGAGGGCGCAGGCCAGGCTGAGGGACCTCACTGATGCATGTTTGGGGCCGGGGAGGGACATGGGAGTTGGCCAGTGGGGGAGGAACTGTGGGAGGGCTCCAGGGTGTGTCTGGCCCATCTCAATAAGTCCCGATTGGCCAGACCCCAGTAGCAAGCCAACCTACCAGTCAGAGCATCTACCCACTGGTGGTCAGTGCATGTCATAGTGACTGGTCAACCAGTCGACTGTCTTCTCTCTGGTGGTCAGTGCATGGCATAGCAAGCGATTGTGTGGCCTTAGCATATCATTATTATATTATGCTTTGTTTGGTTGAACCGATGACTGGATGACTTGACACTTAGCATATTAGGCTTTTATTATATAGGATTAGAAATTAGACACTGTGACTGATATTAACTGATATTATAGCCACAGTAAATGTTTAGTAATTTTTAAACTCCATTACTACAACTATAAAAAATAAACTGGAAAAGGCAATGTTATTTGATATATTCCCATCTACACTAATAAAAGACAAACATGCAAATTGACCATACCTTTGCTATGCATTAAGCCACACCCACCAGTCAATCAGAGCGACTATATGCAAATTAACCCAAACAAGATGGCGGCCGGCAGCCATGGAGCTGGAGCAAGCAGGAGGCTTGGTTGCCCCAGTGATGGAGGAAGCCAAGCTTCCCGCCTGCTGCAGCTGGCTTTGAGATCCACTCAAGGCAATAAAGTTTCAATTATAGAAGATAAACTATCCACAGATACATGTTTTCAGTCGGCTGTGGTCACAGAGCCGGAGTGAGCAGGAGGATTGGGTTGCCCCTGGCAATGGAGGAAGCCAAGCTTCCTGCATGCCCTGGCCAGCTCTGAGCTCCACTCAAGGCTACAAAGTTTCAATTATAGAAGGTAAATAAATCCCAGAATAGAAAAACAGGATAGGCTGGGAGCTTCCATCGCTGGGGGGCTTGGCCAGCTTGAAAACAGCCCTTGGCCCTTCACCCAGGCTGGCCAGGCACCTCAGTGGGGACGCCCACCCTGATGGGTGTGTGACCAGCTGCAAACAGCCATCATCCCCTCACCCAGGCTGGCCAGGCACCCCAGTGGGGACCCCCACCCTGATCCAGGACACCCTTCAGGGCAAACCATCCAGCCCCCCCACCCGTGAACCAGGCCTCTACCCTATATAGTAAAAGGGTAATATGCCTCCTGGTACCGGGATCAGTGTGACAGGGGCG